TATATATATATATATATATATATATATATATATATGCATTATTTTACTTTGAAACCCAAACCAGATGGGCTTTGGCTTCAGTTAGGTCATGCATAACTCTAAATTCAGGCCACGCTAAATTTGGATCTAGCGGTAGGGATCATTCAGCACCCACCTGTTAGTCAGGTCTTTTCTTGGTATATTATTTTCAATTCCTTAAGATGTATGTTAATGTTATCTATTTGCTATCCAAATTGTTTCTAACCATGTTTATGTATACTTTGTGAACATTTGTTTCAGAGCAGCAAGGGCTTGATATCTAGCAGTCCAAGTGACAACCCGTTGGGAACCTCACAGGATTCTCCTGGCAGAAAGGTATTCGATAACACATTGTCTAGAGAACCTCCTTAGAGTATGGTAAACATAGAAAGATCCGATGTGCAAATAAAAGGAGTCTCAGATGTTTTCAGAGTCAGTGTTTCTAGTGCTCCTAGCACGTCCAGCCATGGTTCTGCTCAGGATGAGTCTGAAGTTTTTGGGGATGTATATGTGTGGGGCGAGGTTGTGAGTGACTACTCCAGAATAGGCACTGAGAAAACTAGTAGTTTTTCTAGTACAAGAAATGATATCCTACAGCCAAAGCCTTTAGAATCTCATGTAGTTTTGGATGTTCAACATGTGGCATGTGGGGTAAGGCATGCTGTTCTTGTAACTAGGCAGGGAGAAGTATTTACATGGGGTGAAGAATCTGGTGGGCGGCTTGGTCATGGTGTGGCAATAGATGCTATTCACCCTCGTCTTGTTGAATCTTTATCAGTCTCTAACATTGATTTTGTTGCTTGTGGGGAATTTCATTCCTGTGCTCTTACTGCTAGCGGCGAACTTTATACTTGGGGTGATGGTGCCCATCAGTCAGGTTTACTTGGTCATGGTACAGATATCAGCCACTGGATTCCTAAAAGAGTTTCAGGACCTTTGGAAGGGCTGCAAGTTGCATCTGTTTCTTGTGGAACTTGGCACACTGCATTGATAAGTACAACGGGGCAGTTGTTCACATTTGGGGATGGTACTTTTGGTGTATTAGGCCATGGAAATAGAGAGAGTGTTTCATATCCTAGGGAAGTAGAGTCTTTGATGGGTTTGAAGACAGTTGCTGTTTCATGTGGAGTCTGGCATATGGCTGCTGTAGTAGAAGTTATCGTAACACAATCCAGTGCATCTTCTGGTAAACTATTTACTTGGGGTGATGGGGACAAATATCGGCTTGGGCATGGAGACAAGGAACCACGTCTAAAGCCCACATGCGTGCCATCCCTGATTGATTACAATTTTCACAAGTTAGCATGTGGTCATAGTCTTACAATTGGCTTGACTACTTCAGGCCACATTTTTACCATGGGAAGTACTGTTTATGGTCAGCTCGGGAATCCACATTCTGATGGAAAGCTTCCATGCTTAGTTGAGGATAAGCTTGCCAATGAATCTGTTAAATCAGTTGCTTGTGGTGCTTATCATGTTGCTGTTTTGACATCAAGAAGTGAAATTTACACGTGGGGAAAGGGAGCCAATGGACGATTGGGTCATGGAGACCTTGAAGATCGGAAGGCACCTACACTTGTTGAAGCTTTGAAGGACAGACCTGTCAAACACATTGCTTGTGGGGCAAATTTCACGGCTGCCATATGTCTGCATAAGTGGGTTTCTGGTGCTGAGCAATCTCAATGCACAGCATGCAGGCAGACATTTGGTTTCACTCGAAAGAGGCATAACTGTTACAATTGCGGTCTTGTGCATTGCCATTCTTGTAGTGCAAGAAAAGCTTTGAGGGCTGCATTGGCTCCTAATCCTAGGAAACCTTATCGGGTCTGTGATTCCTGTTATATGAAATTGAATAAAGCAATTGAATCTGGTGGAATGGACAAGAAAATTGCTTTACCTCGTTTATCAGGTGAAAGTAAAGACCGCTTTGACAAAGCAGATACAAAGATTTCCAAGGCTGCTTCACCTAGCAATTTGGATTTGATAAAAAATATTGATACGAATGCTGCTAAATGTGGAAAAAAATCTGAATCATTGCCTTTGATTCGTACTTCTCAATTCCCATCACTGCTACAACTCAGAGATATTGCCCTTCCTGTTGGGCCTGATATGCTGCAAGCTAACCCCAGAATAGCAAACATTTCTGCTGTTCAGTCTAACAATCATTTCCGGGCTGTTTCTCCATTTTCAAGGAAACATAGTCCTCCGCGTTCTGCAACTCCCATTCCAACAATGTATGGTCTTTCATTCTCCAAAAGCATAGCGGATAGCCTTAAGAAAACAAATGAGCTTTTAAACCAGGAAGTTCAAATGCTACGTGCACAGGTAATGTAGCTAACTCTTAAGTTGTGTCGTTTAGAGTATCCATCATTTTGTTTGGTTGAAATTTATATTGTAATGATGGGAAATTAGGTTAATAGCTTGAATCAGCGCTGTGAACTTCAAGAAATTGAGATACAGAAGTCAGCAAAGAAAATTAGGGAAGCCATGGTGCTTGCTACAGAGGAATCTGCGAAGTCAAAAGCTGCAAAAGAAGTTATCAAGTCTCTTACGGCACAGGTGAAATTTAAATCTCCTCCTTGGCACTTATCTTGCCCTTTCACTCTTTTATTTTTGCTTCTATCTTAAAAGAAATTTGGTGCATTTGAAATAAAATTTGTTTGTAAGATAAAGGGTAATGATTTTTTGTTGTGCATTATCTGATATTCTTAAATGTATCAAATATCTTATTTTTTTTGCAGTTTATAGATGTTTGATTCCTACAAGTTTATATTCCCTAGGTTCATGCAAACAATGATATGGCTTTACAATTTAAAAAATGTGATTTTTCCATATGGAACCTCATAATAAGGTGATGTAGAACGGGAGCTTGTTTCTCTTGCAATTGGGGGAAGAACAAAAGAACCCTTTCAAAAATTTGAAATATGACTTCAGATTTTTGAATAAAAATCTGAGAGAAATCTGATAGGAAGTAGTCCAGGGAGAATTCAGCTTGATTGGGAAGAGAATAAGTGGGGAGAGGAGTAACCAAAGGGAGGCCTTGAATGCTTCGGCTAACAGCAGGTTAGCCCATTAATTTCTTTCCCCAAATCTGCCTTCTCCCGTGAACAGATTTTGAGAAAATCCACTAAGGGGGAAGAGGTGAGCTGAAAGGTAATTTAGGAAATAAAATTAAAATCCTAAGCTGTTACGTGAAGAAGCTCACGTAATTGGGCTTTGATTGTTTCGGCTAACAGCAGCAGCAATTAAGGGCTTGATCTTTGAAATTCACGGCTGGTAGGAAGGAGGCAATATCTTCCAAAGAAAGGTGAGAGGGAATTTCAAATCAAAAATGAGTTTGGCAAGATTTAATGAGGGGATGCTTAGGCAACAGAACTTGGAATGTGAGGGTGACGTGAATATGGGGGAGGATTTATTTCCAAAGCTAATTTCAGGTTTTGAAAAATTTCGGTAGGAGGAGATTTAGGGGTTTTGAAATATTTTCAAAAGAGAGACTTGACTTAAGGAAGTAAATCTAAATCCAAGCCAATGAAGGTGCCGGCAGCATTAATGGGCAAGAGGGAATTTGGGGGTGAGGTGTCATGCTTGCATAAATGTAAATTTAGGATTAGGAAAGTAATTAACCAAATCCAATTGAATTTGAAATTCAAAAGAATTGATTAAGAACTTTCCAAAATAGAATGAAAAAATTAGGAAAGAATCCAAATTTCAAATTAGTGGAATTTGAAAATTTGAAAACCGCCCAAAATTAGATCACCCAAATTAAGTTTGAATTACATCATGAATGAGACCAATACTTTTCTAAAATAGCTTTCTAATTTAGGAAACTATTTGAAATTCGAAATTCAAATTTCAAAGGATGAAAATAATTTCCTAAATTATTTGAACTCTTTAGGCAAGCATTAAGGTGACATTGACTCCTCATTCATGGAGACAAACAAGAGTGGCCGGCGGTGGAGGAGCTAATTGGGAAGATGGCCGGCGACCAAGAGGGGACGGATGGAGGTGGCCGAGGCTATGGGGAATTTTTAGTAGAGCTTGGTGTATGGAGGAAGTTGGGGGAAATTTGGTGGAGTTGGATGCGACGAAGACGAATGATGGAAGGTGGCGAGGGAAGATGAAAATACAAAGACGGAATAAAGAACACAAAAACCAAAGAAAGAAGATAAACGAAAGAGAGAAATAAGAACCGCGAGCCTCGAACTCTTCCGAAGACTGACGGGTGATGCTTTTGCCCTTCTCCAAGGGACTTTAAATCACGAGCCCGGACCCATCCTGCGGCTGGTGACAACTTCGATCCATTCCCATAGGAATCTCACTAACGCTCTCTCACAAGAAGAACACAAGTGTGGAAAACACAAAATTTTCATATCAAATTAACCATCCATTACAATAGCTTAAGGCCCTTATTTATAGGCCATAACATGAGAAAATAGAAAATTACAAAAACGCCCCTTGGGCCATAACACTCAAATAAACTAACCTAAAACATAAAATAATAGCTAAAATTCATAAAATAAATCTTAAATAACAATATAAATTAGAGTCGTCGATTTACGACGCCTCCTGTGATAGATGCGCCAGATCTTCGTGCCGATGTCCGCATCATAAGGTTTGAGTCTTCCATTTATAACTGCGAATGCAAAGGTTTAACGGTCTTTGTATGCACTTGACTTTTTTGTTTTCTTCATTTTAAAATTATCTCAGGACGTAGTTTTTCAAATAATGGTGACTTCAGAAGAGTTAATGTTCATGAGTTAAACATAAGGCTCTTGTCCAACATGCCAAGAATACTCATGCAGGTGTAATCTTATGAAAATGGATACTATCACAATTCTCATTTGCTCTCATGGATGCAATTTTTCTATTCATTGCCAATTTGTCTCTACCTATAGTTCACATTGAATTTTTGGTGTTTATGTTTATTCTTCAACCTTTGATTTCCTCAAGAGTGCCTTTGTCACGACTTTGATGTGACAGAGATCATGTTTAGGATTTTATAATGCAACTAATTTGATTCTTAGTATTAATACGTGAAGAAATTGAGGATTCATATATCATATATTCATCAAATAATTCAACCACTTTTTTTCTTTAGTTTTAAACAAGCAATCCTATAATTATAACTCAAATGATAACGAAAGTTGAACTAGTAATCACGAAGGATTGAGTTGCACCATGAAAATTAGATGGTTGAGTTCTCATTGTAGTTGGAGTACTTAGTTAAGCCAATACAAGGGTGTCATCCTTCAAGGGTTTGATTGGTAAATAAGCTGGCTTTAGTGGAATGCTTCGAGACTCAAGATGTCAAGAATGAATTGTTAAATGATCGAGTAAATATGAAAAACTATGATGAGAAATTTAGGAGATTTTTAATAGACTTAATTGAGTAACACTAAAAATACTTGATTTGCAAATTTGAAAAGATTTGATTGTAATCAACAACAACACCAAATATAAGGTACATTTGACAACAAAATTTCTTTGTTAAGAGTATTAGGTAGTAGGTACGACCAGAGGTCATCAGAAATTTGAGTTTGACACAAATATGAGGATTTGAAAAAAACATACCGCTATTGTGGAAGTGTGATATTGTTGTAGGAATGCATGTGATGAGAATTTTAAAGGCCCCGTCAGAGAGGTGTTTTTATAGTAGATGGAAGAGCGCAATTAGTGCTAGGTAGGGCTTAGTAATATGGAGCAAGGGTTTGGATAACACAAATGTTGTCAATCCCGAGTTTGCTCTACATTGGACTCAATTTTAAAATATCCCAAAATCTCAAGTAAACATCGCAACGAAACAAGCAGGAAAAATAGAAAAGCAGTTGAATGTAAAGGATACTAGGATTTAACGTGGAAAAATTCGAAATCGGAAAAAATCATGGAGCTACACCACACCAAAAAATGCACTATAAATTGGGAGAAATAAGTACAAATCTCTATTCTATCTCTCTTTCCTTCTCTTCTCTCTTATGCTGTTCTCACCCTCAAAGCACAAGAGAAAGTCAAGTAAATGTCACGAAGGGAAGCCACCCTTTAAAAAAAACAAGAAATAAAACTATTCAGTCTGCCTCGCAACGTAGCGGTGCCAATTTGGAAAACTGCGGCACTCCACAATGCTATGGCGTTGAATCTGGATCGTTGCGGCGCTCTACTCTATGTCATTTCTCCTAGCAAACTTTGCTTCATCGGGGCGCTTGGGTACACAGCGTTGGGGTGCTAGGGTACACCACGCCAGGGTGTTTGGGTATGCAGCTTCTGGGTGTTATACAAAAAAAAAAAAGGGTGCTGACCAAAGCAGGGGGAGGATCACTGCTCTCCCCAAGCTAGCACTACAAATTGACTTTAGTTCCGAGGCAATAGTACAATTTGATTGATCGACATAATCAGATTCCACACAGAACTAGCACATTTATCATTTTAGGTGGTAGGTGAGTGGGGGCAATGCGACCTGGATAGGCTGTGTAACCCAGTAGAGGCAATGTGACATCGATAGGATATGAATCCTATGGGTGATTGAGGCCGTGCAATCTCAGGTGCCTTTGGGCTAATGGTCCTTGATCTAATCATCTAGACATGACACTTTCTAAGGCTAAAAAAGAGAATTATGAGTTGAACTGAATCTATTTCTGATTATCTATAGTAATGTATGAAGTATAGTTAAGAAAATAATTGACAATGTGAGATTTACCGAGTGTAGTATTTTCATGTTAAATACTACTACCCTAATGTGATGATATTAATATAACATTCTACATAACTGTCATGTGTAGCAATATTTTCACTTGTTATGTTGTAATCTACTGTGTATTATTCCTAATAAAATATTATATATAGTTTTCTTTTTATTACATTTGCTTGTTGATACACATGTAAGTATTGTGTTTCCTATACTTGAATACTGAATTAGAGTTGCATATCTTTATAGGCGTCATAGCTCAACAAAGGGTTTTATTGTCTATTGTAGAAAAGGGGAAGTATAAGGTTGAGCCAAAATAGGGTCATTTTTAGTTTTTTAATGTTATTTTGTCAATGTAATCTTTTATTATTTTAGTAGTTTGTTATAGCTACATGCTTTGGGTTTCTTGTAGTTGCTCTGTAGATAAAAATTTTGGAAATAAAATTCTAGATACCTTTCGCTTATGATTGATGGTTCAAATTATGATATTTTTTATAATTGTGTTTCATATAAATGACATGAATTGTACTGAAATGAAAATTGATATGATGTAAATGATGGGTGGCCTCTCCTCCATTGTCCCACGTCGATTATTAGTAGTAGTGTTGGTTGGGGGTGTGACCAATGGTGTCTATTAGACATCAACAAATGCTATTAGATCCTAAAATGGTTCAATTAAATTATGAAGCATGGGCTGCAAACTTGATAGACCAACCTACAAGCATAAAAGTCTACCAAAGAAGAATAAGAAAAAAGAGACATTCCACGTTAATACTATAACAAGCAAAGGACAACAATATATCTTTTGCCAATTAAAGTACAAATTAAATAGTCTTTATATATATATATATACATATATATATACATACATATATATATA